CACTCGGCTATCGCCTCGTGTGCTACGTTTTTGTTCTTGACACATTTTGACGTCATCTGTGATCTATTTCTGAACAGACGCATGGCAACATGGCATGTATTTCCAGAGCAACTTTTCCTCGTGCCAAGACCCCGCTGGCTTAGAGGAACAGGTAGGTCTGTGAAAAATGTCTGTTTTCTCGATAAAGCACCGGTTTTCTGACTGAAAACAAGTTAAAAATTCTCTAAGAGCGGTTTTCAATTGAGTGTCGAAAGTAATCAGGAAATTACTTTGGTTTTGGTTTTACTACGCGGTTTATGATTAGCTGAGTTGTCTAATTGGTATTAAAGTAATTGGTTTTGGTTTGTTTTTACGACACGCAATTGAAAAGCGCTCTAAACACATCCTCAGAATTAATTTGATGCCAAGGAATCTATGCCACATGGCGGGGGGGGGGNGGAGGGGTACTACGAACGTGTATTTTTGTAGAGTACGAGTAATCCCTCTTTCGATTAGTCCGTCGCGCGCGACACGAAAGAATAGAAAACAACGAGAAGAAAATGGCTGCGTGAAATCCTGGGGGCGAGGAGCACAAAACACAGAACATTTGATAAATTTAAATCTTTCCAAAGCCTGTTGGCAGATTCGCAAGAACATCACGGCTTGCGAACCCTGCGAACCCTTGCGAAGCGCAATTCCAACGTTTCGATTTGCTCCGGTTGCAAAGCTGTCTATTGTCAGAAAGCGAGATAAACGTTAACACTCCCGCAAGACGACACACGTATCACGAATGTTGACAACGTTCCTAACATAAACCAATCATATTTTTGCGTTGTGAGAGCTCCTTTCGCGCGCTCCTCGCCCCCAGGATTTTACGCGGCCATTTTTTTCTCGCGGTTTTCTTTCGCGTCACGCACGGCGGACTAAACCAAAGAGGGATTACTCCAGCCTCCAGAAGCATTTCCCGTCCAAAATACTCAATTTGGCGGCTCAGGCGCGCAAATTCTGTTTTTCAACGCTAGCGTACCCTACATATCGAAGTGTGGGTTTTTTGTTAGGGATGTATAATGGAGTGTGTAGCAATTTGTTGCCAGAAAAGTCACGATCCAGTTCCTCTTCCAGACGGGAAGAGTGTCTCTCTTGGAAGAGGACCTCTCACCAAGATCACCGACAAGAAATGTTCTAGAAATCAAGGTCAGTATTACACTCACCACAAACTTTAGAATACTTCACTTGAGCTTAACTGATTAAGGTGATTCCCTAGTAAAAGAACCCGCCATAGACCTCCGATGAATTCGCCAACCGAATTCACGAATTTGGTTGGCTGAAATCGATATTGACCGCGGTCTAGATTTTCCCATCTAGACCGGCATCTAGCTAGACCGGTTTCATTTTGCGTTGACAAAGTAGCAAACTAAA